GCCAGCATGGTCGGCCAGTGCGCCACCGAGGTGGAGGCCGAGGGGCGAGAGAAGCTGGGGTACTGCCACCCTCTCCAGGAGGACGACGAGGGCGCTGATTGCGGCGCCGAGGCTCTCGACGAAGCTGCAACAGCCGTCCGCCCCGAGAAGGCCCTCGTGACTGCGGCCGTGAAGAAGCGCAAACTCTACCGCCAGCCCACTGGAACGGAGGTGCCATGATTCCCGCGCGACAACGACATCGAGCTCCTCAAGGAGCTCTGCCACGAGGCGGGGAAGCCCAGGTGGGTGTACTTCGGCGCGCCTGCGGGCGGCGCAGGCATGCACGGCCGCATCGATAGCGGGCGCAGTGTGTTGGCCTTGGCTTTCGACGACCACCGCGCGAAGGTGCTCGAGCCGTTTCTCGTGGAGCGTCCCGTCGAGGCCATGCTCGGGAGCAGCGCCGTGGTGTTCGTGAACGAGGACCTGCTTGCACGCTATGCGCAGTTGCGCCTGACAAAGGAGGACTCGAAGGAGGACCCGACGGATGGGAAGAAGGAGGACGACAAAAAGAAGGAGGGCAAGAAGGAGGACAAGAAGAATGTCAATAAGGATAACAATAATAAGGACAAGAAGGGCGACAAGAAGAAGGGTAAGAAGGGTAAGAGGCGCGACGCCGACGCGTCCTCGACCTCAGACTCCTGGTCCTCAGACGACTCCTCGGCCTCGAAGGAGAAGAATCCGAAGACTTGCTGAAACAGAGCACAGTTTTGAGCACAGGCTGCAACCGAATTCGACAGCTCCGACGCAGGAGCCAGCCCGCACGCTCCTGTTCCCGTGCGTGGAGCTGTCACTTGTTTGATTTTGGATTGCAGCAGTCGCGCGCTGGCGGCGTCGCCTCCGTTCTCGTAATGGGGCGCGCGCCACAGTCTGGCCTGTGCAGTACACGGCGCCTTGCGTACAGATAGGAACATAGTCCCCCGTCACCCCTTCGTCGCACTTGGCCCACGGCGCAGGCAAGGCGCAGAGTCAGGATGCTTACCTTTCCAAAGGGTACCCTCGTTGCATCCTGCGCTTTCCGTTCCGAAGCTGGGGGGCTGGATGAACAACAGATACCATGCCGCCAAGGCCCTTGCATCCTTACGGCGCTCTGCAGGGGCGGGCCAGGATGGGGATGCAGCAGGGCAGGGAAGACACGGGAAGCAACGCTCCGAGGAGCGGCCGCAGGGGGAGGAGGAGGACGGAGGAGGGGCCCGCAGGCGTCTCGGTTCACTGAAACTTAGCGGGCCCGCAGGGACGACACTGCCGTCAGCGGGCCTCCGCGGCGATGGCTGCCTCGGGCGGCAGCGGTCGCGACAGGAACAAGGTTCTCTTTTATAAGTGGGGCTGTTACCTGCAGGGTGACGGGTCGAACAACGACAAGATCAACAAGAAGCTGAGGGAGACCTGCAGCAATAGCATGGCCAGGGTGACAAAAGGGCCCCGACCGCAAAAGTGACGCTGGAGAAGGTAACGAAGAACAAATGTGTGTTGACGTGGCCAAAGGCAGTTTCGCATGACACCTGCACGCGGCCCCTCAAGATTGCGCTGGGCGCCAACTGGAAAGACTATGTGAGCAAGCCTGCGGGGGTGCCAGGGTGCGCGAAATGGGCTGGAACAGCTAACGCTGCAGAAGATGAGCCAGCTGTCGCCGAGGGCCACGGTGTCGCAGGAGAAACCCTAGAGGACGCGCTGGGGAAGGCGCTCGTTCCCGCCGCGGACGGGGTATCGGAGCCTACGCCACCGACAGCTGCTCGTCGCGGGTCTGCTGGTCCGAGAGCGGTGTCCCACGACGAGGGTCGTGTGAATCTACTTGCACTGAGGCTCGACGCGGTCGGGCACGCGTACGAAAACAAACAGAAGGGCAAGTGCGAGGACCTGCCGCTCGAGTGCGACGTGCAGTGGGAAGGAGGGGAGCTCGGTGAGGGCTCTTTCGGCAAGGTCTACCTGGGCACGCGACAGGGCGACAAGACTGGCCTTGCGATCAAGATGCTGCGGGACGGCCCCGGCGATGCGCAGAAGGGGTGCAATGCGGATGCCGTCGGAGGGGCTCTGGATGAGGTCATGCGCCGCGGTGCTGTGGGCACGCGCCCGCGTCTCGTTCGCTTACTCGACGCGGGCCTTTTTCAGGAGGTTGCGCCCAGGAACTGCAACAGTCCCGAAGAAAGCACACCGAGAACTGCAACAGTCAGTACCAAGGATAGATAGGAAATGGACGGAGCACATCGGCCTCGTGCACGAGTTGTTCGAGATCGATGCCCGCCAGTTCCTCAAGAAGTCCTCCTTCACGCAGACAGGGGTGCGCCACGTCCTGAACAGCGTTCTCGAAGGGCTCCAGTACATGCACGACAGGGGCCTCATTCACTGCGACATCAAGCCCGCAAACATCCTGATGCGAGGATCGCCGCAGACGCGCGGCTGCTTCGAGAAGCAGGCACTTGTATCACGTGAGCTTGGCGAATGGGATCCCGTCGCGCCGTGCCCAAAGAGCAAGCTGCAGTTCGACTGACAGATCCCGAGTTCCTTCGAGGCGCTCGTCGTCGACGTCGTCGTCGCCGTCGTCGTCGCCGTCGTCGTCGTCGTCCTCCTCCTCCTCGTCCTCCTCGTCCTCGTCGTCCTCGTCGTCCTCGCCGTCCTCGTCGTCCTCGTCGCCCTCGTCGTCGTCCTCCTCGTCCTCGTCGTCGTCGTCCTCGTCGTCCTCGTCATCCTCGTCATCCTCGTCGTCCTCGTCGTCGTCCTCCTCGTCCTCGTCGTCGTCGTCCTCGTCGTCCTCGTCATCATCGTCATCCTCGTCATCCTCGTCGTCGTCGTCATCCTCGTCATCATCGTCGTTCCTTCGACTAAGATCCCGAGTGGTCAGGGCTCACATGGAGCTCTAACATGCCTCCCATGTCTAACATGAGCTCCCTGGGAGCTCTAACATGGCACGTGATACATGTTAGATTAGCTCCCAGGGAGCTCTAACATGGCATGTTAGAGCCCCCTGGGAGCTCTAACATGGTATCTCACGTGCCATGTTAGAGCTCCCCTCTCCTCCATCCGACCTCTCCGCAGGTGGTGCTCGCCGACCTCGGCTGTGTGGAGATGGCGGATCCCCACGGCAGGTTGAAGAGGAAACTGCGCTACAGCCCGACCTGCGATGACCTCGGAGTACGCGCGCCCGCTTACAGAGCGGTCGACGTTTTCTTGGGGAACCAGCGCTACTCAGAGGACCTGGACACGTGGTCCATCGGGTGCCTGATGGCGGAGTTGTACACGCGCAAGGTGTTGTTCCAACCACCAGAGCCTTGCGGCGCGCTCGGGCATCCTCCAGGGGGGCACCCGAAAGACTTCGTGGTTTTCTGCAGGGAGGTCTTGGGGATCCCAGGCAAGGAGCCAGGGTCGGGAGACTTCTACAATTACGAGGGCCAGGAACCCGCCCCGTGGCTGGACAACCTGCCTTTCTTTGAGAAGTGGTTCAAGCGGTCGGGCGAGGATTGGCTAAAGGCTGAAACAGCGAAGGCACTCGACGGCCGAGGACGCTGGCCCGTTGACGAACTTGCAGACTGCCCCCCAGACTTGTTGAAGGCCGCCGAGAGCTGCCTGCTTTGGCACCCTGGCGCCAGAGCGACAATCAGTCGTCTAAGGGCTCGTCGCTTCCTGCAGCCGGCTGGCGCCCAGCTCGTCGTGCGCATCTCCATGGCGCAGGGAAAAAACGGCACGGGCGCGATAGCGGAGGCGGAGCTGGACCCAGACTTGCTCCGCTTCTTGCAGAGAGACCCGTGCTGGCAGAACTTGGCCGAGGAGCGCCTGGGCACGGGAGCAACCGTCTCCAAATGCGTCCGAGGCGACGAGGCGGCAAAGGGCTTGAAAACAAAGGTCGCAGGCATCGTGGACGACGAAAGCCCCCCGAAGTGCCGCAGCCTCAACAAGGACGGGAATTTGCAGATCACCCCCTCGCCCCACATGGCCGCCTTCGTGCGAGCGCTGCGGAAGAAGATGCGCCCGTGGCTGCAACAGCTGGGAGACAAAATGCGCTAGGCTGTCAAAGCCGACGGCATGCCACCTGCCATCGTCGAGCAGACCGGAAAGCCCATCATGACAGAGCACTTCGCCGACAACGCGTTCGCGTACGCATCGATCCAGCTCATGCAACCAGGCGCACGGGACGATGGTTGGCACACAGATGGCGGGCGCTCCCTGTTGCACGCGGCCGTGGCGATTTTCGGGGCGCGCTCCGTGCAAGTGAGGATCCCAGGGGTCCTGGGGGCACATGATGGGGCGTCACCCTCGAGCACGGCCTCCTGCGGAAGGGTCGTCACCCTCGAGCAAAAGCCTGGGTCATTCTACATGGGCACCCTGTCCTCCCTCGAGCGCAACGTGCACCACCACGCCTCCGCGGACTGCCAGGACTGTTTCGCGACCCACCACGAGCTGCAACAGCGCGTAGACGACGGCAGGCTGCAGATCGCCGTCATGATCCGCTCCGACGTCTTTCGGGAGTTCAGGGCGCGCTGGATCGACGCCACGCCTGGCCCGAAGGAGTTCTTCAACGTCGTGAACCACGTCGTGGCCGATCACCTGGCGCGGGTCCCCGTGGCGCTGCCCGACCTCGCGGAGGTGCTCGACGAAATGCGGTGGCCCGCTTCCACGGAGGGGCTTTCCGATTGATAGGCAGCCCGGCCCGCGCAGTCCGAAATCATCATCTTCATCGCCATCACCATCGCAATCATCATCGACTTCATCGTCATCATCATCATCAGCATCAACATGTTCACGCCGCCATCATCGCCATGCGGGTCTTGATTTAAGCATCACCATCACTACATGATGATGACGATGACGAAGAGATGATGATGGAGATTGTGATGATGACGATGAAGAGGAGATGGTGATGATGATGGCGATGACGCGGACGATGGTGAATATCATGACGACGATGATGACGATGATGATGAAAATGATGCAAAAACAGGTTGAGTCGGTTGAGTCCGACAACTTCGCCTTTAATCAAGCCAGGAGCTCCATCGCGTGATCTGCTTCGCGGTCTGGTTGGTCCTGGGCGTCGCCAGTAGCGGGTGGCGCTGGCGGTGGCGGCGATGGCGCCGCTGCTGCGGCTGCGGCTCCAGGGCCGGCGCATCCCCCACCAGCAAATGCTTCGCGCGGCACCGCGCGCGCCCCCCTGTTCGGCTGCGCGGGGTTGACGTAGATCAGCTCGGTGACGTTCTCGGCGGGCCTCCTTTGCCAGAAGGTCTTCCCGCACCTGCGCACCTTGATATTTCGTCTGCCCTTCCGCAGGATGTAGGGGCCAATTTCCTGGGATCGGGACGCGGCCGCCCTCTGTGAAGGCGTCCGCGCTCACGATCGCGCGCTTCGCGTTCGTCGCCTGGAACTCGATCTGCAGGGGCGCGCCGTCGCTCTCTGCCGACGCGATCCTCGCGCCAGTGGACTTGACCTCGTCTCCCGTCGCCGACTCGCGCAGGGGCGAGTTCTTAGGCGGAGGCATCGCGGTCGCGCTGGCAAGCCCCTTGGGGCAGGTGGTCAGCCCCGAGCCCGCGTCGGAGAGCGCCCAGTCGAACCCCGCCGTCTCGCCGACTCCCACATGGGACCCGTCGCACTGCATGGCGTTGTAGAGGATGCCGACCTGCCAGTAGTACTCCTCAAGCGTCGGAGCGTGTTCGCGCTCGCCCACGCGGACGTTCGCGACGTGGACGGTCGAGCTCGTGGATGCCGAACTCCGCTGCTGCCGCAGCTGCATCTGCGCCAAGACCGCCGCAACGTGCGCCACGTCCACGGCAGGGGCCAGGCTGGTCTGCGAGCTAACGCCGTTGCCCTGCAGCCCACTCGCCGTCGTTGCCGTGGACTGCGGGCCCTTCGAGGCGTCCGTCAGCGCTGAGACCTTCCTGGCCTTCCTCTTGTCGGCCTTCTCCTTGCGGCAGACTGCTGCCACATTGCCTGCCTTCCCGCAATCGCGGCAACTGCGGGTCTCTCGTCTCTTGTCCTTCGCTTCGTGTTGTCTGAGATCACGTCGCCGCTGTGGTCTGTGCATTCCATGACCAGCTGCTCGAACTCCGCCAGGTTCGTCATGACTGGATCTGGAAACTTGTATCTGATGGTGCGGCCCATCATGGCCGCGAACCTGTTCGCCTCTTTCGGCGCGAAATCTCGAAGTATATGCCACCATGCCGCGAGCCCGTCTCCTCGCGGTGCCTTCCTGACCTCAACCTTCGCCACGTCCGGTCACCGAGACTAGGATGATTCCGAATGCAGCCTTGTGAACGTGCGCGGCTTGTTCAGAAGTATGGTGTCCACCATCTGTCCTCCTGCGGCTGCCATCTGCCCCGCTGCTGAATCGCGCTCTCCTGCGCGCTGCTGCTTTCTCATTGCCAGCCGCTGCTCCGCCGCGTCCAACCTCAGTCGCAGGTTCTCGCTCTCCGCGAACATTTCGCGGTGTCGCGTCACCTCGCTCTCCATAAGCCTCACGCGCTCAGCGAAGGCCTCCATCGCCGTGGCCACCGCCGCCATGGCAGCGTGACCGAAGATCACCCAAAGAAGGGTAATCCGTCTTCGGCCACGCTCCGCTACCATCCGCGGAATCGCGCTAGCGTTCTGCGATCAGGATGGGCACCCGCAGGGGCCTGGACTCATGATGATCTTATCACGTCAGGGCGCTAGAGCCACAACGGTCGCGTACGATAAAACCCATTATCAAACTTTCGTGTGAAACCCGATCCGAAACACACAACTCGCTTGCCTAGAAACGAACGCTATACATACGGTAACGAATCGGGGGGGAGTGTTTCTGTATTGCAGATGTGGTCCAAAACCGACAGCGGCTACTGTTGGCAAGGCGGTCTTATGTCCGACAAGGACAACGTCCGCGGCACCGACAGTCCATCTCCGTACCCATTCTTGTCCGTACCCAGTGTTCGCTCGTGCCGGTGTTTGAATTGGCGGAGCCGGTTTTTCGCTGAGCCCGGTGAGTCCACGCCCGACCCGAGCATCTCTGAACTGACGAACGAGCCACGCACACCCGATACCCATAGGGGTGTTGGAGGGAGGAAGACTGGCTATGGGTATGGGTGCGTGTTGTAGGCTGTCGGGCCCCAGGGCCATCCGACAACACCCACCCATAGCTGATAGCTCCCTCCGTCCCCTCCATGGGTATGAGTGTGTTTTGTTTGTTCGTCGTGAGCTGCTGGCGCGACCACATGCCGCACGCCACGGAGGCCCCGCGCGCCCCCGCGGGCGCCCGTGCGCTTTCAGTCGGAGTCCTCCCCGCCCGCCGCCGTCGGGAGCAGCGGATCGCTTTCGCTGGGGGGCGCGGCCGCGCCTGGGAGAGGGTGTTCGAAGAGTGCAACGTTGACCACCTACCAGACCACCCCAACCCAATCCGAAATCCCAAAGTTCGGGTTGGGAGGCGTACAGGCTCCATCTGTTTTTGCTTAACGCAGTCAAAACGTGTATTAAGGGCGGGTGGTAAGGACGCAAGACCCTGGAGGCCGAAGTTGGGATTTTTTGAGCGGCGGGTGGCCAGTGAAAACGGCAAAAGGATGGGCCGCAGAGGCAAGGACACAAGGGTGCATAGATGATGGCGCGCGTCCTCACTAGGCCCGTTGGCTGTGTTTCGGGACGCCCCCCCAGTGAGAATGGAGGGCAACTTGGGGCCTTCGGGTTCGATCGGGGTGCTCTGGAGGGTAGGGAAATACGTGCTCGACCATGAACCTTAAAGGTTCTGGGAAGCCGCAGGGCATTTGCTCGACCGTTTCCCAATTGATCTTGATGGTGAAGACGATAGAAAAAACGGCTCGCCGAAACGGAAAGCAACTGCTCCAGGATTGGAACCGGGGCCGGAACCAAACAAAACATGGCGACGGAACCGCAAAACAAACTGCGCTGGAACTGGAAAACAAACGGCAAAAAAAGCACGGCCCTGTTGTGTTCAAGCACCACTGAACCATGGACCCTGGACCACACCACCCCTTGTTGCCCCTCCTTAACTGTCTTCGGAGGTCTTCTGGCGGTCTTCCACGGTCTTCGGCGGTCTTGTGGCGGCCTTTGGCCGTTTTCTGTCGGAATCCCACCAGCCCTCTGGGCGTAGGTGGTCTAGAACAGATCCTCTTCCACCCCTCCCTCTTCCCCCTTGGGGAGGGGTTTACCCCTCCCCCTACCCCCTCCCCTGGACCTGGACGGGGGGGGCCGCGGGTAGTTAGAGCGTCCCAGATGGCCCAAGACTGCTCCAAGAGCGCCTCAGAGAACCCAAGATGAGCTCCAATATGGCTCAAGATAGCGCAAGATCGCTCGAGATGGCTCCTAAGATGGTTCCAAGAAGCCCAAAGACGGCCCCAAGATAACTCCAAGTGGCCAAACAGCTCCCCAAGGAGGCCCCGAAGAGGCCAAAATCGTCCCAAAACCTAAGGAAAATCAATGATTTTTGCTTTCTCGCCTTTTCGCTTCCGATTGCCATCCGAGGCCTGGAGATGGTTCCAAGATGGCCCAAGAGGGCCCCAAGAGAGCCCCAAAAGAGCCCCAAGACGGCCCCAAGAGCGCCCAAGAGCACTCCAAGAGCGTTCCAAGAGGGGTCCAAGAGGCGATTTTAGGGGCTTCCGAGGGGGGGCGCTAATTCACCCCCCCCTCTTGTTTGATCGATCTCCTCCAAGATGGCCCCAAGAAGCGCCCAGGAAGCCCCCAGAGGTCCCAAGATGGCCCCAAAATGGCCCCAAGAGGCCCCCAAGAGGCCCCCCGGAGGCCCCCAAGAGACCCCCAAGAGGCCCCAAGAGCCCCCCCAGATGCACCCAAGATGCTCCAAGAGGCATCGGCGAGAATGCCTAATCATTGATTCTACACAGGTTTTAGCCACATGGAGGCCTCTTGGGGGGGGGCACGGATTAAGATGACTCCAAGAGCGTCTGGGAGAGCCCAAAATGACCTCCAAGATGGCTCAAGATATCCCAAGATGTCTCATAATGGCTTCCTCTGTGTGCTGCCCACTTCTCTGATCGAGGCAATTCCTCTGGGCATCGTTTCTGGATGGGCTGGTGGGGATTCGCGAAGCGACAACAATTTGCAAATCATATACAAGTTAGGTGCAACGCTATAGTACTTCGGAACAAATTCATTAAGCACGTATAGATATTTATAACATACAAAATAAGCCAAATAGCTATGCTAATAGATAGCTAAATAGATGCAAATAGAGGCCGCTAATAACTTAAATAGTGTTTTTTTTTTTGAAGCAGTTTTTGCCCCCCCCCCCCCCTTCCCCCTTCCCCTCCCTCTGCTTGCATTCCCGCCTCCTCGCCCTTTTCCGCCTCCCCAGCATGCAGGGCTTGCGCAGCGGTCAACCACTGCAAGCGGTCACCCGACCATTTCGACCAGCGCAAGCGATCATCTGCCCCTTTGCTTGCGCAACCGTCGACCCACCAGCGGTTTCCCTACCGCTTTGCCGAATAGCGGTTCCCTACCGCTTTGCCGAATAGCGGTTCCCTACCGCTTTGCCGAAGTAGCGGTTTCCCTACCGCTTTGCCGAAGTAGCGGTTTACCTACCGCTTTGCCGAAGTAGCGGTTGACCACCGCTTTGCCGAAGTAGCGGTTGACCTACCGCTGTGCGAAGTAGCGGTTGACCTACCGCTGTGTGCAAGCACGACGCAGGAGGAGGAGGAGGAGGAGGAGGAGAAGTTGAGGAGGAGGTTCTCACCTGTTCTCGGAACAGCCACGCCTTGCTCAAGGCGTGCAGAGGGGCAGGGGCAGGGTTCGGGCGCAGGCATGGCGGCGCCCTCGCAGCTGGTCCTTCGCGCGCGCGCCAGCACGAGCTTGCTGGCGTCGCTTCGGGGTACGAAAGCCTTCGGCCAGGTCTCGAGAGCGGAGGCTGCCCACTTGAAGGCTTTGATCCAGTCCTCTGGGCACGCCGATCGGGACCAGATACAGGCGCTCGCAGAGACGATCCGTGCAGCAGGCTTCCAGGGGAAAGACCAGTCCGATCTCTTGGACGCGGTCGCTGAGGTCGCGGCCGCAGCGCCCGCGGCCCCCGAGATGCCCAGCAAGGGAGGACAGCAGGATTTCGAATCTGCCGTCTTTTTTGTGCCGAAGGCGGTGTGGGACCAGCTGGCCAGGACAGCGAATACCGAAGAAGTGTTCGCCTTGTATGGCAAGCTCGGCCTGCGCCAGAGGTTCTCCGAGGGGACCATGCACGCGTTGGGGCTCGTCATCCTCTGCGTGACGGAGGGCGTGGATGAAACTTTGAGGATGGCGCCAGCCGCGCGCACTAATAGCATCAAGCCCATTAAGGCTGCCTACAAGCGCTTCGCCGCCGACCTCCCGAGCCCGCCAGTCTGGGTGGAGAAGTTGCCGAGCAGCCCGGAGGCCCTGAGGGCGCAGCACCCCGAAGTTTTCAAGGCAGCGTACCCAGACGGCCTCGGGGAGATGCAGTTCCCCTTGCCAGTGCGCGCCTTCCGAGAGCTGGTGTCAGTCACCAAGATGCGCGTGCACGGTTCCTCAAAGAAGAGCCCCTCGGCCTCGGTGATGTCCGCGGCGCCAATGACTGAGATGGGGATGGTCGTCAGCATGTTGGGCGAGGCGCTCAAGAGCGTCGTCCAGCAGGGCCAGCCGAAAAAACGACATTGGCTTGCGGATGCTCACGCAGACGCCGAGGAGCAGACCTCACGTGTCACCAGCCCCGCCCTTGCCGATCCAAGACAAGGCCTCAGAAGATGAGGCCGAGGAGGTCGACCAGCACGAGGCGGGCCAGGAGCAGCCCGCGGAGGCGAAGAAACCGCTCACTGTGGATGAGGCCACGAAAGCCCTCCTGGCCAAGTCGGGCGTGAAGCGCAAGGCAGGGGGCCCTCCCGCGGCGAAGGCCAAGGCGAAGGCCAAGGCCAAGCCCATGAAGGCAGCGAAAGACTCTGGGAAGGGCTACAATGCCACGGTCACAGTGTCGTACTCTCACGAGAAGAGCCGCCAGCAGTTCCTGGGCCGCTGCAGCGAGACCAAGAGCGCCGCGTTTTGCTACAAGGGGAAGAGCAAGAACGCGGTCGAGAACGAAGTCAAGGCCCCTTCGGTAGTTCAAAAAATCTCATACGCAAATGCGTGGCACTCACGCTCACAGGCCCCCCCCCCCCCAGCCACTAACCCAGCACGAGTGCCGCGCATGCGTTTGTGCATTGCGCGCGTGGCCCCTTGCAGGCGTGGTGCCGCGAGCAGTGCAAGAAGTTCAAGGTGCCCATCTCGCCGAAATTCAAGGCCTGAGATGCCCCAGCTCGCACGCTAGCCTGTCGGTCAGGCCAGCGCGGGATGCGCGCACAAGGGGGGGGGGGGGGCGTCCAGAGCAAAACGCACCGCCCCTCCTATACTTTCCTTTGCTCTGCCTTTGCTACTCCCAGCGGTAAGCCCACCGCTACTCCATGCAGCTATCAACTATTATGACAATCAGCGGCCTTCCAACCGCTTTCTCCATGGCAGCGGTCTTCCAACCGCTTTCTCCAGCGGTCTTCCAACCGCTTTTCTTCTTATTTTTGCACCTGCGAACC